AATTTGCACGAAATTGTATTTGTCATCATTTAGTACTACTTTATATTAAGCCTTAATTCACACATGTTTTCAATACAAACGCCACGGAATCTAACATTGAATGACTGAATGCATACAAAATAGAGTATGAGTTTTGGGTAGAGTTGGACAGAGGTATGGCTCAAACCGTATGCCTGAGGCCTAAACGTGACCCAACGACAGGTGCAAACGAGAACACAATCTTTTTTATACTCAACTTCTTCTTTCAAATTGAAAATACAAGTAAACAAGAATTGAAGCCTTAGTTCACAGACATTGCCATCACTGCAACACTTGACTTGTCTGAAGTTTTCACTAATCCTTAAAATAGTCTTCTTTACATTAAGTTATGGTTAATATTACATAATATTATTATATTCACACCACTTATTATTTATTGTAAAATTAGATTTTATAACTAAAACATTTTTATCTTATATTTTATATAATTTAGTTCACTTAAGTATCTTATATTAGTAATACAGTCCGGCCCCGAATTTGGCATGTCATTGGTGCTATCAAAAAGATGTGCCAAAATTGGATTCTGCTAAAATCGGGGTCATTAGCAGTGCTAATATGACTCAATGGTGCTAACAAAACCTTATGCTAAAATTGAATTCTGCTAAAATCGCGTGTGCCAAAATCGGGGCCGTTCTGTATATCACAATTTAAAACAAATTCTATGTAATTCCAGTGATTATATTGTGTTATGTGTTAAACTAAATTTGTTATTTATCATCTTTTAACATATCTGTAATCTTTGTTAATAATTGAAATTTATATAAAATTTATTTATTTATACAAATTTGAAAATAAGATAAATATTACACTAATTTTATCAATTTATAACATAAGTAACTTATCAATCATGTGTTTAATATTAAATATTAATGTAAACTTTAATTTAATTCCTGTATTTAGTAATTGAGTTATAAATAAATAAAAACTATAACGTTTGGCAAATAAATATAAATGCAATTAAAAGATAAAGATTATATTACAATAAAAGTTAGACATTGATTGTAAGATTTGATATGAATTTGTGATTTTATTGGACAATGAATTAAATATTTGAATGAATTAATGCGTGACTCAAACTTAGAAACACATATCGTATACAAAACTAATAGCAAACACCAACACAACCAATAATATCTGTCATATGATTTAAATTGATTGTGATGTGTGTGTTGTTTGCATTACATTAATAGTAAATGTCTGTATAAATAAATCTTATTTTCAGAGAGTCTGATATTAAACATATGATTCTTTGTCTAAATTGTGTTCAATTTGAAGGATAACTCAACGCATTTGAATTGTTACAAACTTTAAATACATAAAAATTATGCTAAAATTGTTGATTTTATTAACAATTAGCGCATGTGTTGCCAATTGTCTTGATTTTCATCTGAGTTTCTTGAATTATTTGGAGAATCAGGAAAACAATGGTGAAGATAAGCCGTGGAACGGAACCATTTGGGCGGTTCTGGTGGCCGGATCTAATGGATGGTTCAATTATAGACATCAGGCAGATATATGTCACGCATACCAAGTGCTTCACGAGCACGGAGTGAGCGATCAAAACATAATAGTTATGATGTACGACGATATCGCACATAATGAACAAAACCCAACCAAAGGTGTTATCATTAATAAACCCAATGGACGGGATGTGTATAAAGGAGGTTAGTTTTTGACCATATATTATGCAATACACTATTCAATGTGTGTGTTGTTTGTTTAACATTTGCTTAATTAACTCAATTAAACACGAGTTTTAACGCCGTTTGTATGTATAGTTCCCAAAGATTACATCAATAGCGAAGTGACTCCAGATATGTTCCTAAAGGTCTTACAGGGAGATCAGGGTCTCCATCAAAAGGGCAAAAAAGTGATCAAAAGCGGTCCAAACGATCATATATTCGTGTATTTCGCAGATCACGGCGCGCCCGGACTCATAGCCTTCCCTAGCGATGAGCTCTACGCCAAAGACTTAAATAAAGCACTGAAAACAATGGCTCACCAAAAGAAGTTCAACAAAATGGTTATTTATATCGAGGGTAACGATAATTCATTAATAGTTTCCTAAAATTACTAGAAAAATATGCTATTCTTTGTGTGTCTGTTATCTACTGTTTTCAGTGATTTCTCGTATAGTTTCTTATCAATTGAAGAAATCACAAAAAGAAACGATTTTAAGTACAATATATAATATGTGGTGCACTTCACGACCAATGATTTGGAGGCCAAATAGACATTGAATCCAATAATTTGTAAATACCATCAGAATTAGCAACAAATCATATTCTCGTATATAAATACATTGAAATGATTAAAAATGTCCTATAATTAACTGTAAGGAACATTCCTAAACGCACAAAACTTAATTTATATGTACTTTGAAATACGGCATACAATGAAAGCAATCTTATATTTGAGTGCAGGTCTTAACTGAAATGTGTTGCGTTCGTGTCTATAGTAAGATTCAGGAGCGCTATAAAGTCATACGAATCCAAAATATAAGGAATTTGTTATAAAAAACCAAACAATTTAAAAGTGGCTTAATTTTGATATTTCGTTATTAATATATCAGTAATTCATAAAAGTCATGAAAAAGTTATGTTCAATACTTTACAGTTAAGTTATGTCACGATTAATGTATTGTTTATTAAAGAATACACTATTAAAACACACTACAGTATAGATACAGTAGGAAAGTACTAAAATATAGTACTTTATAACATAAATTATTAACTTTGAGCTTTTATTAATAGCAATTGTGGTATTATTTTATTTATTAATAAAACTACAACTTTATGATAGCATTAAATTATAAAATGGGATTATAATAGACTATAATTAACTCAATTTTATATGAAAAGCGTGTGAAAGCGGTTCAATGTTTTCCGGATTATTGCCTAAAAATATCAATATCTTCGCGACCACTGCCGCCAACTCTAGCGAATCGAGTTATGCCTGTTATTACGATGAACTCCGGGAGACCTATTTGGGTGATGTCTATTCAGTGAATTGGATCGAAGACAGCGATTCCCGGCATTCGCTGTCCAGCGAGACATTACAGCAACAGTTTAGACGAGTGCTCAAAGAGACCAACACTTCACACGTCGAAGAGTTTGGCGATAGGACTATAGGACAGATGAGTTTGAGTCAATTCCAGGGCTCTAAGACTTACAACAAGACTTATGAGGGAAAGGCGCTCATAACGGATGCGGTGCCGAGCGGTGATGTGCCCATCGCTATAGCCTTCAAACGACTCAATACACGCCAAACAGAAGAGCAAACGTTTGTCAATAAATTCAAATACGAAGAACTACTGAGAGCTCGAAGTTTTCTCATCACTTCTGTCAAACATTTGATCCGAGAATTGGATGTGAAGAACGTCTCGGCGGACAGTATTTGGAGCGATAAGAAAGAGCTGATAAATCATGAATGTTATGTCAATTTGATTCAACACTTCGACAATCATTGTTTCGATCTCTCGACACATCCTTTTGCGCTCAGATTTCTCTATGTCTTCGTTAATGTCTGCGAAACCTTAGAAAACGTGAATATAGGAAACGCTCACATCATTGAGAGTTGGATTTCACGTATTGTTCGCCACTGTTCTCATCACATCTCTGGACATCCATTCAAACAAATTCTTTGATAAACTCAAACCTTGATTAACATAACGATAAGAATTTGCCCTTAAAATCAAATTATCATCAATTTTTTATTTAATTAGAAATATTTTACAAAATATCGTTTAATTACTGTTTTTTCAAATATATATTTCAATTAACATCTGTAAACACTTATCAGTAAATTTGCGAAATAAATGCAATTAACGCTCAAATTACTAATGAAAATAAATTCAAATGTGATTATGTCTAACATTTAGTTAAATTTGCGATTTCTATCATACCATTTACATTGAATGGTTTCATAATTCGTTTGAGTATTTAAATAAAAAATACATTAAATTAAATGAAACACTTAATGATAACATTTATATCGATCACACAATCAGTAGATATAAATTTCATTTCGTGAGAGAAAGCAATCATTAAAAATCAATCCATTGAATTGATTTAAGCAGTAATTAAAACTTTCACAACTAAAGTGTAAAGTAATAGTAATTAAAGCGATGTTTTATATGCGTAAGATTAAGCCTGAAATCCAAACTACTTTTTTATATTAAATACAAAACTTATTTAATCGAAACTAATAATAACAATATTAGACCTGTTTTAAGACTGTATTTGTAAATATTAATGATAATTAATAAAGTTATTAATTGAAGACAAGACTTAGTTGAACTCATAGTTAATGTTTAATAGGATTTATAAAATTCCCAAAACGCTCGGAATATAGAAGAGCTGCTCTTCATTGGGAACAAGTGCTCCACATATGGAAGCAATGTTGGCCTCTATTAGGTTTGTTAACAACTATACTGTACTATAAAATACTAGTAAATGGATCCGGAGTACAATGAATAGGACTATTTAGACACCGGTTCCGTATCAATGAAATGATAATTCAAACTAACATAAAATAAATCACAATTGAATTATAATTTCTGTTAAACTCGTGACAATCAATGGCTCAATAAATACAACTTTGGATATGTATTTGTAGACACATTTGTATATCAAATTAATCGGTAGTTTCTGGAAGTTTACACAACTTTTTATGTGAACTCCAGTGAAGTCGTTGACAATCAATATTACAATAAGAGGTTTGTCTGCATTTGGAGCAGCGTTTGGTAGGAGTGGTGTCACCGCAAGTGCTACAAACCAGACTCTCGTCATCGAACCCTTTCTGACCGTTAATGGCTTGCGATAGTATGGACAGAGCGCTCGGCTCTGACCCGATCTCAACGGTAGACAGCGTTCGGATCAGTTGTTGGAAAAGAGCGCATTCGTGGTAAGGATATTCACGAATACTCTGTCTCAACAACTGCTCCAGAAATACGGGAAATCCATCGCTCTCTCGTCCCTTCAGCCATGTCTTCAACACTTGTTCCAGTCGTTTGTTATTATCTTCTTTGGTATGTTTTATGTCTTTGTTGTAATCTTTAAGTAATTCTTTGTGTAAATGCCTTAAAACAAACGCCAAATAATGTATTTTANCGTCCCTTCAGCCATGTCTTCAACACTTGTTCCAGTCGTTTGTTATTATCTTCTTTGGTATGTTTTATGTCTTTGTTGTAATCTTTAAGTAATTCTTTGTGTAAATGCCTTAAAACAAACGCCAAATAATGTATTTTAAGTGAAATCATTTCGTTTTGTTTGTCTTTGAATTGTTTTTCGCAAATCATTTCCAATACTTTAATCAATTTGTTTACGTTTTCGATTAAAATCCAATTATTCTTCAGAAATAAGCCGATTCTTATGGGATGAATGTTTGTCTGTCTGACAAATGAATGCAATGGTGTGGCCAGTCGTGCGCTCAGCCGGGGCTCAGTCTCCAAACCGTGAACTCTGGTGTAGTAATCGATGTCTTCTCTGGGGATATAGTTATTAATGATAGCGACGGCTGAGTGTTGGCCAACAAAAGCGGCCATTTGTGCGGCGTTTCGGTTCACAGAATTGACGGCTCGAATGTGTGCTCCGCTGTCGAGCAATAGGTTGACCACTGAGTGGTGACCGCCGAGTGCGGCAAACATGAGCGCAGTGTAGCCCTGGATCTGTTGGCTGTTGTTCACGTCGGCGCCCCTCTCGACCAGATAGTGGCAGATGTGATCATTTCCTTTATAGGCCGCGTGTTGTAAGCCATTCATGCCATTCTCGTCGCAGCAATTGATCCGCACATCCGATTCGTTCAGCAATTGTTTCACTTCTTCTAAATTGTTTTCGCATATCTTCTGAATCAAGAGTTTCTCGTTTTGCGATAAATCACTCATTGATGCGACCATTCATTGACAAAGCGATCGCACAATCAATCAAATCAATCACTCATTCATCAGACAATTCGCCCACTAATTGATCCCAAAATGCAATCCAAATATTGTTTACCCAAAAATTGCTGACAAATGAATGGTTGCCATAGTTTTTGTGTCAATCAGTTTCGTCTCTCAATGTTTGTGCACTTCATTCATGCAATCATTACAACTCCTCTCTAACAGCGCTTATGTCACAAATCAATACTCAATTTGTAATTAAATAATTGTACTTTTCGTCAACACATTTAAAGCAATTAAAATTTTAATAGTATTATAGTATTTGTAATCAAAACTAATTATATTTTTACAGTAAAAGTACATTTTTATAGTATAATAAGCGTATAATTATAATAATATTAATAATAAGTCGAAAACAATGTTTGTTTTATCCAAATATTCAAAGTATTCACAATTAATGTTGACTTTAGAAATGATTTCAATTGTAATTTTAGGTCATTTGATTGGTTTGAGAGATATTGGTGTCGGCAGTTGAGGGACCGGTGCCTGCAGTGCCTCGATGTGCGGCCCCATTGCAAGAACGGGCGACGCTTTCAAACAGCCTGTCATTTGAATGAAACAAATCATTTATTAGTTATTATTGTAATTAAGACTTGAATGAAAGCGAATGACAAAACAAATGCTTACTTTTCTATCTCTGGCGCACATCTGACGAACTCGTGGTTCCAGAACTTGAACGACGGGTTCTTAATTAACTCAATGAAAGTCACTAATAGGCCCCACGGGTGCGGACGGTTCACAATGAGGCGCTCCAATAAGACTCGAGTGATCTGTTCCTGAATCGCTTCGGTATTGGATTCGGCGAACAGATAGAGAAGAGTGCAACTGAAGTAATGGGTGTGAGAGTTGGGGTAACGCAACTGATTGGCGATTGCGTTCAGGAATAGATAGCGACCTGTAATCACATTACAAACCATACATTTAGTTCAAAATAATTGAGCCATTAGTGAGGTATTCAATGCTCACCTTCAGTGTCGAGAGCGACCGCAAGATTTTGAAATATATCCATATGTGAGGAGTGGGCTATCGATGACATACTGATACTCTTTGGCGGAATCGATTGGATAGCCGTCTGTCCCACATATAGAACCAAACCATTGATTAATGGGATGTTGTAATGAACCGAATCAGTGGTCGTATTGGGAGCCGATAGCTGTAGATATCCGCGCAAATCACTCAAGAAAGTGACAGGACTTCGAGTGCGCAGATATGAGTCCAAATCCTTCTTAAACACTGTTGTGCCGAAAGTGGCCAAAGCTGTTGAGCCGCGCGGCGGTTGACTTATTTCGGGCAACGAATCGATCTTCAAGTTGGGAGTGAAAGGGTCTGGAAGTCTCATATTGCGAGGGAATGCACTCAACACTAGATTTCGCATTTGGATCGCATTACACGGAATCACATCACATAAACCATAGCAATATTCGCACAGGAATTCTGGGAAGTCGTGCAGAAGAACCAAAAACACTTTCAATGTTCCCTAAAAGTTAGGTTAAAATAAGTTAATAACCAAATGATTGGTTGGATAGGGATTGAGAACTGACTTTATAGAGGGAATCCATAGATTGAGGCAATTCCACGTTCCGTAGGAATGGGGCCTCGAATTTGATTAAATCGACCAACAATTGGGCGTACATTTGCCATCCCTTCGTCGGCGTCCCAGAGTTGATGGAACCCGAGAGCAGACACTTCTCCATAAAAGTTCGGTGACTAATGAAGTCGAGCCACGCGAACGAAAACGACGGCGCTTTCGATGGTCTCAAGACGTGAAGTGTGTTACAGAATGCGGTCAACACTTGGTATTGAATGGATTCGAGCAACGGATCCAATTGCGATGGATTCAGACCTAAGCCTATTTGGTTGTGTTGTAATAATACGGATCCCGGGAGACCCAAATTGGTGGGTCCGAGCACTAACTCCATGAACAGCAATACAAATATGCGGTAATACGGCAAGTGTTGAAAGTCCGCTTGTCTTATGTCCTGGTCCTGAGTGGCCACACCTGCGATGATGTTCAGCACTTTGTTTAATAGATTGAGTTTAGCGGTGGTTTCGGAGGCGGCGCCCGAAGCGGCGGTTGAAGAGCCGCTGTGTTTGACGAGCATTACTATGAGATGTGTGAACGCATCCAAAGTGTGGAAACACTTGGAACGGACATCGATTATGTTGGATGAGCCGGGAGTTTGGGCGGCGGTGTTGAGTATACGATAGCAAAGCTCGACACACATTTCGGTCGACAAACGGAAGAATCGGGTGATTAAGTCATCAGTTTTAAGGATTCCCTAAATATGACAAAACGTATTCAATTAAATAACTCATTACACGTTATATGAAAAAACAACTCTCACCTGAAGGTTCATCTGTTGGACATAAAACTGGAATATTTTGCTGGTATTCGCCTGAGAGTGATATAATTGA